GAACTTACCTTCCTATTGGCTTCCTCCTCTGCAGGACATTAGCTTCAGCTTCTCTGCTCTATGTCAGTTATCCATTCTTTGCTCTGCATCTTCCAGAATTCTGACATTTTCCATCTGTCATCACCTGCATTTGTCTTTATTTTGAAGAGTTTATAGCTCTTTTAAAAACATTACTATCCCTTTTCTATCAGTTTAATGAAAGTTCTGGGGAGTAGAGAAGCACTGCTTCTCTTAAGTAATTCATGTTTGGCTTTCTCTCTACTATGGTAGGTTCCTATTTCCTAAGTTGATATTTCCTTGTTCTCCTGATTCTTCTGAAAACAGGAGCCTCAGTTTTCAGCTTTCTGGACAATTTGAAAAAGACATCTACTCAGCCTTCAGAGCCCTGTTTGTTCTGTGGTTAATATGCAGTCAGAAACAAGTCAATGTAAGTCAGCTTTTGCAAATATCAGTTAAAACTTAGGAGATGTGTCAGGATAAAAGTTAAGTGTAATTAGTTTAAAGTCAAGCTAACTCTGGGAAATTTCTTCTTGATGGAAAAATAATACAAGGTCAAATAAGCTTTTCTCCATTGACAATGAAGAAGGGAATATTTAGGGACTGGAAGTTGAAACTTTTCCTTAGAACAAGATTAGGAGTTGTAACATTTCCTAAACTCACCGCAATTGTTTTTTTTATACAATTGCATGGCACTTTCAGTTTCAAAGATCCTTTTTTTGGGAGGTGGATAGAACTTAAAATAATACCTTCCATCTTTAGTATAGTTGTTGGTGGGGTATTGGTTCCAGGACACCCCCACAGATACCAAAATCTGTGGTTGCTCAAGTCCCTTATATAAAATGGCGTATGTAGTAAGTATTTGCATGTAACCTACGCACATCCTCCCGTGTGCTTTAAATCATCTCTAGATTACTTATAATACCTAATACAATGCCTATACATCACTTCTTTTACAAAGATCCAGTGTAGTACTAGGTGAGCAGCAAATTCAAGTTTTGCTTTTTGGAATTTTATAAAATATCCCCCTAATCTTTTTTTTTTTTTTTTTTTTTTTTGAGACTGAGTCTCACTCCTCCCAGGCTGGAGTGCAGTGGCATGATCTCAGCTCACTGCATTCACCATATCCTGGGTTCAAGTGATTCTCCCATCTCAGCCTCCTGAGTAGCTGGGATTACAGGCACTCACTATCATGCCCAGCTAATTTTGTATTTTAGTAGAGACGGGGTTTCACCATGTTGGCCAGGCTGGTCTTGAACTCCTGACCTTAGGTGATCCACCCGCCTCAGCTTCCCAAAGTGCTAGGATTACAGGCATGAGCCACTGTACCCATCCCCCACACCCCAAATATTTTCCATCTCCAATTGATTGAATCCATGGATTTGGAACCCATGGATACAGAGGGCTGACTGAATAGAACTTTTTCACATATTTGAGTTTTTTTCTGCAGAAGTGTAATCAGTTCTTTTAGGTAGGGATTGTTTCTGATACATCTTAGCATCCCTGAGTGCCAGAATGAGGGCCTACCATAAGGTCAGGCACATAGAGCTCGTTTAATCTTTCTGTCAACCCATGAATGAGGAACTACTATTACTCTAATTTTAAAGCTGTGGAAACTGAGGCACAAGCTACACAGCTGTAGTAAGGGGTACAGGTAAGAGGTAGTATTTTACAGAGGGAATTAAAATTGTGGGTAAGTCAGACAAGTTGGTTCCTAGGAACCAACTCCACCAAGAGGAGCTGCCTCCTACCCAAGTACACAGCAGCGTTTGCCTTCAGTGACAACATGTGAGGTGCTTTCTGGAGAGACAGGCCTGGGACTTCACGGAGCTTGGAGAATCAGTTGTACAACTGCTGGCTAATAGATATTTGACAAGTTTGGCCTAAGACTACCTCTGAAACATACCACCTGAAGCGAGGTTGTGGAGAAGCCCTATAGCTCAATCTCTATCTTAACTATTAGAGGCTACTGATACCTGCCTTGAAGATGTTATTAGTAATAAAAGTGATTGACCAAATTGACTTAGGTTAATTTGTAACCGCCTTCTCCCTTAGTTATCTCCAGCCAAAAGAAACCTAGTCTAAGAGATTCACAACATGTCTTATAAAAATTTACCACAGGCCTCAAGCAGACTCGGGGGGGTGGGGCTGAAGTCTCTGATGTGAAGCCCTTCCTGCAGGGTGTGAGCATTTGGAACACAAGTAAGGCCTGTGGGCTAAGATCTCCAACCAGCAGCAGTTAGAGATTTAATGTTGTCCCCAAGCACTATAGAATTCCAGTGGGAAGGGAGTTCAAAGGCAGCTGAGGTTAGAAGGATGGTAGCCTCAGGATCACTCCTCTCCCTTTTGGCCCATGATTGAGGAAATTCTGCCTCAGCAGCCACTCTCTCTCTCCCTTTCTGCATCTATCTCATACATTCCCACTGATGTTCCCCCCTCCCAAGTAGCTGCAAGTTCCAAATACATTGGAGAATGTTGCCCTTGTTAGTTATCTCATATCACAAATAATCTGAGAGTTGCTTGTGAATTGCAGAACTATTTAGATTTTGAGGTCAGAGGCACAGAATTGGTACTTTAAAAATGTATTTTTATTTTTTAATTGTTATATTATTTTTTAAGAAATAGAGATGAGGTCTTGCTATGTTGTGTAGGCTGGTCTTGAACTTCTGGCCTCAAGCGATTCTCCTGCCTTGGCCTCCCAAAGTGCTGGGACTAGAGGCATGCACCACTGTACCCAGCCTTTAAAATGTCTTAAAAAGTGAAAAACTATATCTGAATATAAATAATTAAGAAGAACACTAGAGTATTGAGACTATATTATCCAATACAATTGATAAAACTATAGACCACACTCTCTGGACTTTCACACAAGCTTTTCAGTTTTAATTTCACATAAATTGAAAAGTGATGTACATTTGACTACAGATGATTTGAAATGTGACTCATACAACTGAGGAACTGAATTTTTGATTTTGTTTATTTTAAGTAACTTGAACAGCCACTTGTGAGTAGTGGCTACCATCTTGGTCACCACACATCCAGAATATGGTGATAAGCTTGTATCAGGATAGTCTGGGTTATGTTGCAGCCACAGAGAACCCTAAAATCTTGGTGATTTATAAGAACAAATGTTGATTTCTTGCTTGTGTTATGTCCCCATTTTGGGATGGCTAGAGACCCAGATGGCTGCAGCAGCCACCATCTCACACATTGCCAGTCATTATGGAGAGGCTTGTACCAGCACATAAATGCTCTGGCCCCGAGGGTACATATATCACTTCTGGTCACAGCTCACTGACCAGGACTAGTAACATGGCCCCACCTAACCAGGAAGCCAAGAGTGAAGCCCTAACTGTGTGCAGAGATCCTTAACAACAACTGCCAATGATAGCCTCCCCCTGCCCTTTCAAAATACAGAGAAGTTGTCCCAAGGGATAAAGAGAATAGTGCTACTTGTGTTTTCTTGACAAATGGAGAATTGGGTTTCTCAGAACTCAATTATTTATTACTTCCTATGTACTAATTAGCACAGATTTATCAAAAACAGGTGAGGTGTGGAGCAAAAAGCAAATTTCAAACATTTTATCAAAAATAAAAAGTCTTTACATAAATTTAGAGCTGACAGCAGTCAGCATGTCTTATTAGTTGCATGTAAGAAATATTTTTTAATAAGAATATATGCAATGTAAGGAACAATCAATGGATTTTTAAAATATGTTGGGATGAAAATGAATGGAAGAAAGTGTATCTGTTAATTTTCTTGGTGCAGAATATAAATTGTACATTTTTCATTAGTAAGGAATAAAAAGTCATTTTCTTTAAAAATAATAAATTACTCACTAGGGACATTGTAGACTGTGATTGTCTTAAAAATGAAATATTAAATATTTATTAACAGGACAATGGATTCTTTCTAAACTGCATCAAAGAATCACAGAATTATCTAGCCCTACATTTAACAGCTTGTCTTAAATTATTTCTGGACCATCTACAATATTGTTTGAATATCTGAAGACATGGGGAACTCGCCATCTGATATCTGATAAGACTTCCTACAAAGCAGGACTGGTAGTTTCCTGATAACAAATTTTTCAGTATGAATATATGGATAAAGCATTTGGCTGCCAGTAATGAATTGCACCAAAGTCACCAATTCAAACCATGCCCTGGTTAGTAATATCGATGATGATGATGATGTCACATGTTAAAAATGTCATGTAGATTTTAGCATTTTGAGGACCTGATACTCTTTTGGCACCAGGGACGAGTTTCATGGAAGACAGTTTTTCCATGGACCAGGAGAGGGGGTGGTTTTGGGATGATTCAAAGGCATTACATTTATTGTGCATTTTATATCTATTATTATTACATTGCAATATATGATGAAATAATTATACAACTCACCATAATGTAGAACCAGTGGAAGCCCTGAGCTTGTTTTCCTGCAACTGGACCGTCCCATCTAGGAGTGATGGGGAGACAGTGACAGATCATCAGGTGTTAGATTCTCATAAGGAGCGTGAAACCTAGATCCCTCACATGAGCAGTTCACAATAGGGTTCATGCTCCTGTGAAAACCTAATGCCACCACTGTTATGACAGGAGGCAGAGCTCAGGCGGTAATTTGAGCAATGGGGATCAGCTGTAAATATAGATGAAGCTTTGCTAACTCGCCCACTACTTACCTCCTTATGCATGACCTGGTTCCTCACAGGCCATATACCCGGGGGTTGGGGACCCCTGCTCTGTAAGATATCCTTCTAGAATGATATAGTACTGAACTGATGCTCAAGAGAAATATTGAACTAAATGTGTAAATTAGGCTATCTATATAAACAAGAACCCTCTAAATCATTCTGTTCTATGGTAAAACACAAACACATAAGCCAGTTCTTCACCACATTTATGTTTGTTTTTATGCACCACAGTGTTTGTTTTTCGTTTCCAAGATGTATCTGTGTCCTTTACAACTGGTAGCATGGAAAGAAAGAGAAGTCTGCAAAGATTGAACAAACAGCATGCACTGTGGTATCCTTTATTTAAAAATTGTGAGCTGACTACAGTTGTAGTGTTCTCATTTACCATTCTGATGGCATAATAAACCGAGAGAACATTAACACAATTCCAAGAAGGCATTAACCTGTAACACACATATACACCACACATGCACACACAAAACATACACGCACACAAAGGTTATATTCTGAACACAATTAAAAGTGATGGAGAAAAGCTTTGAATGCTCTAAATCAAATAAAACCCCTTTATAAACTGTGACAATACTGTGGCTATTATGAAAAATATTGTAACTATTTTAAAAGCAAAAGGAAAAATACTGGCAATTTGAAACTAGCAGCAAAAAGCAGATAAAAATAGAATGGAAGATAATGTAAGACTAATATCAAAATTCTAATGTCGATACTATGTAGGATTGCACTGAAGTAATTTTAAATTGATTCTTAAGGAACTCTTTAAAAAGTCCCTTAAAATATTAAATGGCTGCACCTTACAAACAGTGGGGGGAAAAAGTATTTGGAATGTTACACATACACACACACACACACACACACACACACACACACACGGGAAATGTATCAGGTCTATCAGTTATGGTCTTTGTTTATGACCTTCAAAAAGTTTTATAAAGAAAAAATTTAAGTGCCAATGTAGTGAAAGAAAGCTAAAAATTCCTAAAGATGCAAGTCTGAGTGCATTTACCAGGTCTAAGAATATATTTAAAGGTTGAGGGCAAGGCATGATTGATGCACATTTAAGAAGAAAGATATGGAACCCATAAGGTAGGTCGAGTTCTTTGGAGAGTGTTGAGAATGAAGATGAATTAAACTCTGGCTGTCTTGGAGAAGATTCCAAAGTACATGGAGTTCTCCAGCTCTTTATCAGTTGAAATCTGTTTCATAGTGGCCAATAGATAATTAAGACTAACATTTCAGCAAACTGGTTTTTCCTACATTCAAACACAAAAATCTTTACCACACATGCAGAACTGATACTCTGTAACAACATAAATGTGAATCCTGGTTACAAAGAAAACCACATTAGCAAGGATTTGTTTCCCCCATGGGTTCTTAACCAAATGTCTAAAGCTGCTAGACATTTGCAAAGAGGGGGTAAGTTTAGATTTCCTACTGATTTTGGAAGAAAAATATTTTCCTAAGGAAGCCAGAGTCATCCATGAGCAGGGGACCTGTCTTCAGAATTTAAGAAGCATAATGTTGCTAATGCTTAAACTCATGACAAGTTCAGATCTAGAAAAACTGGCAGGTGGAAGGGGAAAGAGAAATAGAGAGTTTGAATGTCTGCAGTGTACTTTGGAATCAAGTGTGCCTGATAAGTTAGAATGGCTCAACTGCTTTCAGAAGGAGGTGCTGCAGTACTGGGAGAAAACCCAGACTTCTCTGGAGTCAGGGGGTGGGGAGAGAAAGGCCTCCTGTCTCCAGGGACCCTCTGGGCTGAGCTGTGGCCCAGAACCCTCCTTTTGGCCTTATTTTTCATGAGCGCATTCAAGTGGAGAATTTATGACTTTGCCCAGATAAATATTTTGTTTGGTTACTTTCTCTCTAAAATCAATTGGTCAGGCAAGTTACTGGTGATTTCCCTAAATGAAATCTAGCGGCACTAGTATCTTAAGTGCCCGCTAAGGTAGATTAATGCCCATCAATAACGCTGCCAGGTACCAACTGCTGTTGCTGAAGAATCAACCCAAAAATGACCTAACTAGATAATCTATCACAACTAGGTGCTTTTGCTATCTTGAGTTTTTTTGAGTTTTAGAGAAACAGTCCTTTTAATATGACTTAGAAACTGCTTTTGTCTGGCTTTGATTCACTCTTCTTCCTCTTCCCCTTCCCCTTCGCCTTCCTCCATTGTTTCCACAATGAGCTCTGCTGTGCAGGTGGCTTCTCCAAGACTGTTGACAGCCTTGCAGGTGTACTTGGCATCATCATCCCCGCAAACATCACTAATAATTAAAGAGCAGTTCCCGTCCTCATCGTAGTCTATCTGGAAATGGCGGGACTCCCTGATTGACTGGTCATCTTTGAACCAGACAACCTCGGGGTCCGGGTATCCTGCATCACAGGGAGAGAACACAAGTTTCAGGAACTGTTATTCAAAATTTCTTATCAACTCATGAAAGCAACTCCTAAGCTACCACTATTGATTAAGGTGGTTAAGGGAAAAATTTTGATATTGGCCTTTATCAACTGTTTTGATATCTATATTAGAATATGGGCATGTCCTGTAAATACCAATATCTGAAACCCCAAATAGATATTTTAAAGTTGTTCCATTTCCTGCACATGTTGAACTAGCACCACATCCCACCTATTAAATTTTATTTTTATTTTTATTTTTTTTAAGCACTGAGTCTCACTCTGTTGCCTAGGCTGGAGTGCAGTGGCATGATCATAGCTCACTGTTGCTCTAATTCCGGGTTCCAAATGTTACTCCCTTCTCAGCCTGCTGAGTAGTGGGACTATAGGAACAAGCAACTATACTCAGTTAAACATCCCACCTTTCACTTTTTGGGGGGTAGGGAGGCAGGGTCTTATTCTGTCACCCAGGCTGGAGTACAGTGGCATGAACATGGCTCACTGCTGCCTCAACCTCCTGGTCTTAAGCAATCCTCCTGTCTCAGCCACCCAAGTAGCTGGGGCGACAGGTGCACATCACCATGCCGGGCTAATTAAAAAAATTTTTTTTGTGGAGACAGGGTCTCCTTATGTTGCCCAGGCTGGTCTTGAACTCCTGGGCTCAAGTGGTACTCCGACCTTGGCCTCCCAAAGTGCTGGGATTACAGGTGTGAGCCACCATACCTACCCACCTTTAATCAGACACAGAGTACTACCTGAAGCTAGGCATGGTGGTTCACACCTGTACTCCCAGCACTTTCGGAGGCCAAGGCAGGCAGAGATTCAGGACCAGCCTGGCCAACATGGCAAAAAAATAAAATAAAAAATAGAGTACTACCTGAAATACTGCTCCAACTCCAACTCTATATGCCTAGAGCCGAATACCTTCTTAGATTAAAAATACAATTTTCTTTTTTCTTTTCTTTTTTTTTCCTGAGACAAAGTCTCACTCTGTCACTCAGGCTGGAGCGCAGTGGCACTATCTCAGCTCACTGTAACCTCCACTTCCTAGGTTCAAGAGATTCTTGTGCCTCAGTCTTCTAAGTAGCTGAGATTACAGGCATGCACCACCACATCTGGCTAATTTTATTTTTAGTAGAGACAGGGTTTCACCATGTTGACCAGGCTGGTCTCTAACTCCTGACCTCAGGTGATCTACCTGCCTCGGCCTCCCAAAGTGCTGGGATTACAGGAGTGACCCACTGCCCCTGGCTGAAAATACACCTTTTTTTTTTTTTTTATTTTTTTTTTTTTTTTGAGGCAGGGTTTTGCTCTGTCACCTAGGCAGGAGTTCAGTGGCATGATCTTGGGTCACTGCAACCTCCACTATCCGGGCTCAAGTGATCCTCCCACCTCGGCCTCCTGAGTAGCTCAGACTACAGGTACATACCACCACACCAAGCTAATTTCCATATTTTTTGTAGAGATGGGGTTTTACCATGTTGCCCAAGCTGGTTTTGAACTCCTGGACTCAAGCGATCTCTCTGCCTTGGCCTCCCAAAGTGTTGGGATTACAGGCATGAGCCACTATGTCCAGCCTAAGTTTTTGATTTTGTATAATAGTTTAAGTTAAATAATTTAAATGAGAAATAAGAGTCAAAACAAATGGGAACACGGCATCTTTTTGGAGTGATGAAAATGTTCTAAAACTGGATTGTGGTGGTTGCATGACTATAAATTCATTAAAAATAACTGAATTATGCACTTAAAATAGGTAAGTTTTATGGTTACATAAATTATAACTCAATGAAGCTAATAACACTATATAAAACAATTTAAGGGAGCTGACAATATTGCTAAGAAGAAGAAAGCAGTATTTGTCTTATTGTGATCGAAGGCAGGTAATTTGCCTATGGACAATTGGAAATGGACTTCACTAATTAGCCTTTATGGATTAGTCATGCGTCTGCAAAGTTCAGCGTTAAAAAATAAAATATACAGGCATATAAATTACATATATATCATATATGTTTAAAGTATATGTGTACATATATATGTCCACATGCATTACCAACATTGTACATTTTGGTTGCATGCATATGGTATATACATGTATCCCCCTTTTAAAGTCATATATATACACATACCTTTAAAAATATACAATATATTCCACCTGACTTTCTCTTAAACGTTGGAGAAGTATTTTTATAGGAAAAAAGTTGTAGCCCTGATACAGTTTGGATATTTGTGCCCCTTGAATCTCATGTTGAAATGTGATCCCCAGTGTTGGAGGTGGGGCCTGGTGGGAGGTGCTTGGGTCATGGGGGCGGATCCCTCTTGAATGTCTTGGTGCCCTCTGTGAGGTAATGAGTGAGTCTTTCCTTGCTCTGTTCGTTCAGGCAGATCTGGTTGTTAAAAAGTGGCACATCCTTTTTTCTCACTCTCTCTCTTACCATATGACATGGCTACTTCTGCTATGATTGAAAGCATCCTGAGGCCTCTCTGGATGCAGATGCTGGCACCAAGCCAAATAGGCTTCTTTTCTTTATAAATTACCCAGCCTCAGATATTCCTTGATAGCAATTCAAATGGGCTTATACAAGCCCTAACCAGAATAAAAATTATACCTAAGAAATCAAGAATTCTAATGTTCTTTTCAACTTTGTTTTTTTCAAAACAATTTTGGAAACTGTTTTTTCAAAGCAATTAGGAACAGCCAGACCATGAGGAAAACTGAGTCAGAAAGAACTGGTCATAGAAGACCCTGCACTCCCACACCCTGCACTCTCAGTGCAATAGTTTCCATTTTGTTTTTATCAAAACAGCATCCATATGCTTTAATTTCTCATCAGAGTTCCAGCCAAAAGTTATATAAATACCAACAAAAGAATTCCAAAGAGAAAATTAAGTGTGAAACAATCCCAAAGAGAAAACTAAGTACAAAATGATAATCATTATGTTATTTTAAAACATTCAAAAAGGAAAAAGGAAAAAACTTTCAGAAGATCCAAATGCAATCGTAATGGTGAGAATTGCAAGCAGTGGCTCCAGAGCCTTCAGCAGAATCCCCAGTCCGAGAATTTTTACAATATCAAAGGCAGCATATCTACTTTCTTTTAATTGAATGAAGAAAGGAAAATGATTATGGTAGGTGAAGCATTCACAAAGCACTTTGATAATATAAAGATGCAGAAGAAAAACTATTTTTTTCCATTCCTAACTTTGGGTTATTTTACTCAAAAGGCATTGTCTAGTCACATTGCTGGAGAATCACAGAAAGTGGGAGGCACAGTTTGTTCTGACTGCTGTACTGTGCTATGCAGCCTTGGGAAAGTTGCCTAATAAACTGTGCTTTATTTGGTCAGATCAAAATAGGCAATAACCCACCACCCTGGTTGGCAGGTGAAAGTCACAGACTTGAGGCATAGGGCCCTGCCTTATCTTGTCCCTTCTCTTTCTAGACGGTTGCAATCTATGGAAATGGAAACACTTTGTGTCATCAACTTTGCTCATTTCTCAGGTGGTATGCCATGACCCCTTAAGATCCCTTGAGCTCTGACCACTGACAGTTCCATGACTGCATTATACCCAGCAGGCAGATAAGCAACCTGGGGAAGATGGCACCAACTGAGTGCTTCGTCCCTGGTTCCTGGCTCCCAACTGGCCTCAGTCTGAAGTCACATTGCATGCTCTCTCTCTCTACCTGCCAGTCCCACAACTTTTCCCTTTACTCCATGACACCTTTACAATATCTAAAAGGTTCCCCCTTCTCACATATGTCCCCTCACAGATTCTCAGAGGCAATCTGTGACTTAGCTATCATCTTACAGCTGAGGGATCTTAACCCAGGGGATTTGGACCACCATCCAAGGTCACAGCCTGCAGACGAGTAGCAGAGCCTGCGGACTCCACATCCTATGCCTTTGCGCCAGCCTTCCTTTGAGGGCCTCCTATGGGCAAGTCACATGCTTTTCAGCAGTTTGCAAAGCCCGTTTCACTAAGCATGTTCCAAAGCCAGGTTAAGTCCATGCAAGACCATTTCTAAACTTAGTTCTAAGTGGCTGGTGTAAGTAGGTGAAATTTCAAATGTGCCCCCTGGGGAAGTGACCGAAGGACACGCCTTTAGGAGGTGGTAGTAGAGGGAATTGCCCTTTATGACCAGCTCCTGCTGACCCAATTTCCCTCAAAGCTTGGTGGTTTCTCATTGCCCCCAGTGGCACAGAACTGACATCTTGCCCAGGGTGCATGGTGTGGGCCCTGCCATCCAGCCACACCCTATTCATGGTGAGGAAAAGCACAGCTACAACTTACCTTCAATCTTGCAGTCAAATCTAGCAGCACTTCCCTCCACAACTTCTAAATCACGAATGGTCTTAGAGAAATAGGGTTTTACATGGGGCTTTTCCTCAGCAACGGCCTCCAGGAAAGCTTGGGACACATCTTCTAGAAGACAGAGATGAAGACCAGGCCATTTCTTCATTCCTTGTTCTCTCCTCTCCTCTAGTTCCAAGAAACTAACTTTTTAAAAAGTCGCTGTGATTTAGCAAGAAGGCAGCTTTGAGAACTGAATCATAAGTACGCCTTTCTCCTGGGGACAGGTTGGCCTGCTGCCAAATGGTTTTTGGCAGCAGAGAGAACTGTGCCCAAACTGAGGAAATGTTCAGCCTCCTCCTTTCCCTTATGCTGACATATTGAAAAGGGAAATCATCTTTAAAAAGGATTTCTGGCTGCATTTCATGCTGCTTCAGGATTCAGCTGAGGGTATCTGAGCAGGGCAGGACTTCACCAGCCTTCCTGTTCTTGGTATCCCTCTGTCCTCCTTCTGTAGCAGGTGTTTCACCTGCTTTTTAGAAAGGAGGAGCCAGGTCCTAGCAGCATCTTCAGCTTGCCAGTGGCTCTTTGTCCATGCTTACACTGCCTTCATGCTGTGTGACTGTGGACCAGGATGTGGGATTGATTCAGGGAAAAGCTGTAACTTGGAGGGACATCTGTATGTCCTTCCTTCCCTTCAGGCTATGTCTGGGTCATCTGAGGAGGGGCAGGAGTGTCTGAGGAGGGACCAGGCCTGTGTGCTGCAGACTCTGTCCCTGGCTGCAAGGAAGCTCCAGAGCAGGCAGCTACTGGCCTCACCAATAACCCTACCTTTGCTCATCAAACGGATCTAAACTCAGCTTCTCACCTGTGGATACAAAAAGTACCAGACAAGGAGAGACAGAAGGTGTCTCTGGCCAAATGAGGCACCTCCAGAAGATAAAGACCAGGCCCTCTGTGCACCTGAAGGAAAGGCTGGGGCTTTCACTGAGGAGATCGACGGGACAGCATCTCAAAGGCAATGGACAAGTAACTGACCCTACTGGTCTCCAGGAGGGGCCCTGCCAATCCCACTCTGCCCAGTTCAAATGACATGATTCAGCAGCATGAAAAATGGCAAAAAAAGTGGACCATATGAATTAATTTTTATTTAAAACAAAACCACAAAGATGATAGAATATTTTATAAATCTTATGCAACTACATGTAATTTTAATTTTATTTTTACCTATTAAAATAGAAGTATAACTTTTGTAATGAGAACAAAGGAAGCTTTTAATAAAGTCTGTGTTAATTTTAACACAAAATATGTGAAAAAGCATAGCTGAGGTCATCTAGTTCTGTTAGACAAATAACAACTTTCCCTCTAAAAATGGTTCAGCCTAAGGTTAAACAATTAAGAATAATTATTAGACTTAGTACTTGCCAGAGCAACTCAAAATTACTTCTGAATTTATACTTGTAGGGCATATTAAAAAAAAAAAGAACAACAACAACAAAACCAACCAAAACCTCAAAATGCCCCTTTGCTCCCCAACCCTCTCTTTCTCACCAGCTGGCTAGAGAAACCTCTCCTTACCTTCAGATTCTAGTTTTTCTGCATTGAGTGGGCTGGTTGGTGACCCTGTTGAGGCTTTCCTGCCACTGAGCCCCGAGATCATTGCCATAGAGGACAGCCTTCCAATGGCTCTCACAGCATTGCCCGTTTTCTGGAAAATAGACACGGGGGTTGGACTCAGGCGTTGTCCCTGGTTCCAGCTGGGTAGTGCGAGGGGCTGTGGGGAGCAGAGCCCAGCCCTGGAGAAGCAGCTCTTCCCCGGAACGAGGACCTCCCGGGAGCCAAGGCTCTGCCAGAGGAGCGAGCCTAACCTTGCTCTGCTCAGCACTGTCAGTGTGTCAGAAGATGTTCAGAGAATGGAATGGGGCCTGGAACTGATGTGTGTGTTAATGTGACTAAACAAGGTCAACATGAGACAAAAACCCTTTTCATACAGTGCTTCAACTCCCATAAAAGGGATAGTTTATATAAAGCAACTGCAGGCTGAGACAGCTCCAAAGACTTATTGCTGACTGGGCCTAGCGGGGCTGTTTCTCGTAAAACAATGCTAGCGATGTGATTTTAATTGGCCAAGAGGATAATTACTACAGATCCCTCAAGTCCTGATGCAAAAATAATCATAATAATAATAACAAAGCATTCTATTGACCTTGGGCAAGTCACTTAACCACTCTGAGCTTCAGTTTCCTTCTCTGGAAAGAAGGGGCTGGACAAGATGATCTCCAAGGTCCCATTCAGCGCTGTTTATAATTCAGATACTTAAGAGATTTTGAGAAACACTCTGGCTGGCCCCAGCACAAGTCTATGATGCAGTGAAGCTCTGGAGGGGAGCTCTTTCCTGGTGTGCACTCAGGCACCAAAAAGAAGCATCGAAGAAATACAAGGCAACAGTACTTTACTTTTCGGCAACTAGACTTGGGAGAGGACAGAATTTCTGCTGAAAAGGATCAGAACTTGAGATGAAATTACATTGTAAAAATTCTACCAAGTATAGGATCCCTAATTATGTACAATTGTGTCTTATTGTTTCTTATCTTTCAATAAGTAAGTTTTTCACCCTTTTTCTAAGGTTAACGGGAATGACTAAGATAAGAAAACTAAGGCACAACCAAGTCTTTCCACCCCTGCACCCAAAACATCTTTTTTAGGCATCTAAAAGCTGTGCATCCAGACAGCAGATGCCACCAGAGACTGGCTACTTGTGCCCCCTGAGAGAGGAAGGAAACAGCCTCTTCATAGGCAAATGGCTAGTACTTACTGCACCTCAAACTCTGCCGGCAAAGCTATTTTCCTCCTGAGTTCACTGCACATGCTCAAGTACTTCAGTAAAGCCTCACAATTTAGGGCTATTTGGAAAGCCAGTAAGCTTCAGTAAAAAGACGAATCATTTTGAAAGTAAATAACTTCAGGGTGCTAAGGAAACATACTGAAAATTGTGTGCATGTGTGTATGGTTAAAGAGGAGACCTACTGCTGCAAGCAGGATGACCTTACTGTCATGCCTCCTGCTGTCCTTGCTGCAGACCGCTCTCATGCACTTCAGACAGACATCCCACCTTGCTCTGTCCCCTGGCCGTCCCTTCTCACACACATCGCACTGTGTGGTGTGGGTATGTTTCTGGCCTCTGCCGTCACAGTGAGGCTGGGTCACTGAACAGAATCCAGGCAGTCCCAGGTGGAGGTGATGAGGAGGGGACAATGGTGAGAGATGACAACTGAACAACTTAACTGTGTGCAGAACCACCATGTGCCCCTGCAGAAAATGCCCCTGCAGGCTCAGGCCACTTGGCAACCTTTCATGCTCTTCTAGGAGATGTTTCTGGTGGTATGGTCTATCTGTTTGTTGTGCTAACTGGAGTGTGGACAGACCCAGCTCTTCCCATGGGAGGTTACCCTGTCCTCAGGAACAGATAAGAGATGGTACCAGCCATGACAGCCCTCCCTGTGTAGTCAATATCAGACCAGCCTGCTTCTTAACCCAATTCTCGGACTGCCCTTCTCTGCTCCCTATTCCCTTTATCCAACACAGATTGGTTTGTCCTGGGCTAGGAGCCTCTAAACTCAGAGGGCTTGTTCCCAACAAGGGACAGGTTAGTTCTCTAACCGTAATTGCTGGAGACCTTGTGCAAATCACTTCCTCTCTATGGGCCTCAGTAGCCTTGGAGCAGAAGATTCCAATCTCCCTGCAGTTCCAGACCTCTACAGAAAGACTCTGATTTATATCCATAAATCTGTAGCAGGGAACACCTGCCTTGAGCCCATGGGCTCCCCAATTCCAGACATCAGGATTGGGACTGATCAGGACTGTCTTCACTTTGGTGGTGTAGAAAGACGATGTCTTTTCCAGATTTTATTTCATAACAAAATGACTAATATGAAGCTATCAGAATGAGGCAAAAAAGTTATAGTATTTCAGAGGAAGTAGTAAATATATTAACAAATAAATAGGTCTCACATAGGGAGAGCTTTTCTAAAAGATGGAGATATCAGCATAAAATATTTGGAAATTGATTTGTGAAAAAATTGCTGAGGAAGTTACTTGTCAGAACTAGAAACGAATATATCTGTATTTTCTAGTTTTCCAGTTTTATGCCTTTGAGCCAACAATTGGTTGCTGCTCTACTGACCAAAGACCTTTAGAAAGTTTTGAAACATCAAAACAGCCAAGTTTTAATTTTGTAATTTCTCCCTTCATTTTGAGAAAGTCTTTTTCTTGCTTGAGGGCAATTGCCCAGGCTGGGTTCCTGTGTCCCTGGTGGGCACCAGCCTCCTTAATGCACCACAAATTCCCTGCCCCTTGGAGAGCTGGGGGTGGGGCGTGGCCAGCCATCCTGGCTTGCTCAGGCAGGCCTATGGAGTTTCCCAGAATTAGGGTCTTTTGGTGCCAATACCAAGACATTCCCTGGTAAACATATGGCAAGCTGGTTCCCGTACACCAGCCAGCCATAAAAGCCCCCAATAAATACCAACCATTTCCCCTGAGCAGTGCATACCATCCAAATGGGATGGCCAAAAATACTCTGTGCTATACTGAGTCCAGTGTTTTCTCCCCTTTTGCCCTTGGTCCATACTGCTGGGATCTTTATGGTTCCCAGAAAATAAAGATGGCAGCCCACGGGCCTCTAATGTCTAGTCCTTTGCTTCCAGTGTGCATGCAGAAACCCTGTTAATCTGCTCAACTTAACCTGCCCCCATTGCTACACCTTTCCAACATATCTTTGTAAAATTCTTTTAATATAAATTTAAAATAGACCTTCTTTCAAAATAACTTCATTCTAAGATGAATAATACAATCAGTCACCTGTACCCAGCCTAGCTTTTGTTGTAGGGATTTGTTTCCACGTCACTTCATTCCTCCTAGGGCTTTTTATGAAAACTACACCACAACGAGAAGAAGGTGCCTTTTCTGGCACAGCTGCTGAGAGTTCTGGGCCACCTGAGCCTGCCCTTCTCCTTTCCTTCTGCCCCCGCCCACAGCCCACTCCTTCCCACTCCACCCCACTGCACAGAACTTTGGCAGCTGCAAGAGGCAACCCCCATATTCCAAGGGGAGCTAAGGTCCTGGTGATTGCAGTTAAAATGTGGAAAACATATTCCTTGAAGAAGCAATGTCACATGAAATAGTTAGAGCTGTTACCAGGGAAGCTACTTTTCAGGGACTCATTGAATGGGATTTTTGTGGACAACTTTTGTGTGCAATTTCACGGAAAAATCATTTCCAAATGCCTCCACCTATACTAAAATATAAAATTAAGGTTCCTTCTCTGAATTCTACCCTTTCCTTCCCCAGCCCTTCCAGAAAACCCTATGGCTAATAACAATATAAACAAGAAGAAAAAAAATTAGGTGATTGAAATATCAGCATAGGCTGGGCACTCAGCACTTCAGGAAGCCAAGACAGGAGGATCGCTTGAGGCCAGGAGTTCAAGACTAGTCTAGGCAACATAGCAAGACCCTGTCTCTACCAAAAAAAAAAAAAAATTAGCTGGTGTGGTGGTGTACACCTGTAGTCCCAGCTACCAGTTACTCAGGAGGCCAAGATGAAAGGATTGCTTGAGCCCAGGGGGTCAAGACTGCAGTGAGCTATGATTGTACCATTGCCCTCTAGCCTGGGTAACAGCATGAAACCCTGTCCCTTTAAAAAAAAAATCAACACCACTTATGATTCTCTCATTGATTTAACTGAAAAATGCCGTTTGCCTCCTCTCCTATTTCCTCATCTCTTTTCTGCTCCTAGCCCCAGGGTTTAGGCATCCTCCTGGCTTTGGTTCATCTGCAGATGTTCCCAGGTGAAAAGGCTGCCCCTTACCCCATAGCTTTAGCCAAGCAAAATCCAGTTAGACTCGCTGCTCTGAGGACTGCCCTGCCCTGATATCAGCTTCCCTATCCTTTCCAGAAATATTTCTTTGAGACCTGCTGGCCACAGGATTATTAATACAGCTGACCTTTGATTTTGTAGATGCCCCCATGCCCCAACTGTTTTTTTTTTTTTTTTTTTTTTTTTTTTTTGGCTGTTTTTTTTTTTTTTTTTTTTTTTTTTTTTTTGAGACGGAGTCTTGCTCTGTCACCCAGGCTGGAGTGCAGTGGCGCAATCTCCGCCTCCCAGGTTCAAGTGATTGTTTTGCCTCAGCCTCTTGAGTAGCTGGGATTACAGGCATATGCCAGCATGCCCAGCTAATTTTCATATTTTTAGTAGAGACAGGGTTTCGCCATGTTGGCCAGGATGGTCTCAATCTCTTGACCTCGTGATCCACTCAGCCTCCCAAAATGCTGGGATTATAGGCGTGAGCCACTGTGCCTGGCCGGTCGCCCCCACCTTTTTAAAAAACGATTTGCTACTCAGATCCCCGTGGCACCAAAAGGTAAGCAGCTACAGATGTTTGAACTCACCTTGCACTTGAGGGAGACCTGGAGACCCACCTAAACCTTCCCATGAGGGGCCTAGCCAGGAACTGACTTCCAGTGTGGAGGAGCACAGCTGAGATGTGCTCAGAATGGTGGTCCCTTAAACTCCACTCTGACCCCCATTTGCCTTCGCTCCCTCTCTCAAACTCTGTGTGATACTCTACTTTTTGAGGCAACTGTGGTTTAGTCACCTGGTGTGGCAAATGACCAGTAGTCTCCAATACAGTGATTTCCATTTTCTCTGCCACCCAGGCAATCCCAATGCCCCTAGGTACCCTGAGTCTCCAGCTAAAAGACTGCTGTCCAGCCCAGCCCAGTGTCCAGCTCCCACCTCTGGGCCTTCTCCACCTGTGCTGTCCTCTTCTGTGTGTTCTGGTTCAGGTTCCACACCTAATTCAAACTCCTGTGCCTGGGAGCACTTCCTCATCATCACATCCAACTCTGGTTGTGATCAGGTCCATTCTATCCACACACCCCCATGGCTATGGAGAGCTATACAGATAGTTTATACATTTTGGTGTGTGTTATGTCCTTTCATGTCTAGTTGCTTCAGTTCCCTATTGTACTACATGGTCCGTGAGTGTAGAAAACATGTCCTCCCCATCGCTCGAACCTGGGAAACAGAGGCTGCAGTGAGCTGAGATCATGCCACTACTGCACTCCAGCCTGGGTGACGGAATGAGACTTTGTCTCAAAAAAAAAAAAGAAAAAGAAGAAGAAAAGAAACCATGTCCTTTCCAGCTGTCCAGCAGCCTAAGAATTTTAAATGTGATAATAAAAATGATAAAATAGATGATGATGGTGGTAAATACCCTGTGGCTTTGGATAATAATTTTATCTACTCATGCCTTTTATGAGAGGCAGTTTTGGGGTTAAGACTATGTGTTTTACAGACAACCTCTGGGTTTGAATCCTGGCCCTTCTGCTTATTAGCTGTGTGATCCTGGATGGCTTTCCTAACCCTTTCTCTGCCTCAATTTTGTCTGTAAAGTGGGGATAATAGTAGTACCTGCCTCCTAGTGTTAAAAGATTTAGTGCATCAATAGTGCTTTAAATGGTCCCTGACACATGGCCTGCCTTAATACCTATCAGCAACTGGTATCATTTTTGGACACTCACCATGTACCAGGCATTGTACTACTGAAGGCCACATGAGGATGATCTCATATAATTATCACAACAATGCTGTGAAGTTGGTACCACTATTATCCCGGTTTTACAGATGAGAAAACAAATTCACAGCAAGGTTACGTCACTTGCTAAGGACACATGGCTATTAACATACAACCTTCCTAGATGGTGGAACCCTGTCTGTCTCTTTAGATCATGTGCCCTCCTCCTCCATCATAAAGAAATGTGAGACAATCATACTACCATCCCATTCTCAGGGTTGACAAATAGACCTTAAAGTGATGTTGCTCATCCCAAGCCATGAAGACACAAAATGTCAGTGGCTTGACCTGAGTAAGGGTTAAGAGTCCTCTGGGGCAAAGCTGAGCAGGAACAGAGAGACAGCTAAGCTAAGAATCCATCCTATCTCCCTGACAAAGAGACTCTGTGCTCAGGACTAAGCACACCACTGTACCTGAATCAGCTGCCTAAATGGGTCCTAGACTACTTCAGAAATAAATTTAAACTTTCTTGGTGTGAGGCCAGGGAAAGCTGGGTATGAAAGTGTCTTGAATAACACAAATATGAGGGGTAACATCCCAGTCCAAAGTGATCTTCGCATTACCTGCCATTTCCTTCTTGCCATGTACTTCTTCATCCGGTCCTTGGAGAGTTTCTTGGCCTCCATGTTCTTGGTATCTTTCATTAGCCATGGATGTTGAAGGCACTGAGTGCAGTCCAGGCGGTTTCTGACAGAGGCAGAGATCAGGAGGTTTTTGAGCAGAAGGAGACCTCAGAGACCACTGGTTAGACTGGAAATGAGTAGCCACCTCTCCCTGGTCATGTAGGGCACAGCCCAGGGCCCCCTGCTCCCGGGTCATCCACCATCATCAGGATCACTGTGCTCTTCACCTTTCTCCTCACTTGGTCACACTAACCAGAACCAGCACGGGTCGGTGTTATGAACACCTAAGCATCAAGGAAGCAACTGGGCTCCATGGCCTGCTCTTGGGGTCGAGGAAGAGTAAGTGCTGCAGGGCAGACATTTCTGGGATTGGCTGGCACCCTATTCCAGGGTGGGGTCATTCTGCTGGTCCCATGAGGGCTGGGGCTCACAGAGTCTAATCCTCCTGCCACCCTGTCTGGAGGAGGGGAGAGTTAAACCCTAGGATAAAACCTTCAAGAATCACTGAACTTTCATGTTTTATGTCTTATGGTGTGGTTGAGTATCAGGTTTCTCCTGTTACAACGCAAAGCAATACGTCCTGCATATAACCTATGAATTATGACTACCTTAGAACTTCACTGAAACTCACTTAATCTTTCTGAAAGCTCTAGGGATTTAGAAACATTTTAGAGCCATTGCCTTAACTGTAACAGTACTAAGAAAGCCTAAAAAACCAAATGCTAACATACATAGAAAAATGACTGGAAAGAAGTATAGCAAAATGTAGTGATCATCAGATAAAGGAATTACAGATGATTTAAGTTTTATTATGTTCTTCAAATCCTCTATAATTTACATGTATTGCGGGGCGTGGTGGCTCAAGCCTGTAATCCCAGCACTTTGGGAGGCCGAGGCGGGTGGATCACGAGGTCAAGAGATCGAGACCATCCTGGTCAACATGGTGAAACCCCGTCTCTACTAAAAATACAAAAAATTAGCTGGGCATGGTGGCACGTGCCTGTAATCCCAGCTACTCAGGAGGCTGAGGCAGGAGAATTGCCTGAACCCAGGAGGCGGAGGTTGCGGTGAGCCGAGATCGCGCCATTGCACTCCAGCCTGGGTAACAAGAGCGAAACTCCGTCTCAAAAAAAAAAAAAAAATTTACATGTATTACTTTTATAATAGAAAGGGATTTTTAAGAAAGTGCTGATAGGTGGTGATTTCTGGTTAAGAGTGGCTGGGTATAAGAGTTTATGGGAATTTAGTGTCTTGATCTGTTTGAATAAGATCAGTTCTTTGGTAAATCCATTTTATGAGCACAGAGGGATCTGGTACAGCCTGTTCTGACTTAATTCAATGTTAGATGAGAAAACAAGATATATACACACATAATCTTGTTTACCAAATCTTCAGTGACTAAAGCTTGTATGACAAAAGCCATCCACAGACCAGAGTTGCTGAGGAGGTTTCCATCTCCTGAGGCACACTGGGTGTGGGGGTCCCTCCCATTGGAAGAGAATTTAGATCTCCCACAGTATCTCAATTCTCCTTGGATCATGCCCATTTCTGATGCAGACTATGACAGCAAACGGCTAAAAAGAACTCACTGTCAAGGACAGTAGAATGTGGCCTTTGTGGGAGTTTGGCCCTGAGCTGGCTAAAAAGGACCGAGAGTGGGGTGCATCACAGGAAAGCCTGACAGCCATCTGAGACACTCCAATGTTGTTCCTTCAGCAACTAACTGCACCCTCCTTCCCTGAACAGCCATTCTTCCTCAGGGGAGGCATCGGCAGCCTCACCAGGCTTTTAAGTCACCTGGAAGTGCAGAGCCTCCTGCCTTCCCTGGAGCCAAGCCCCTTCCCTTCTCTCTAACACACCACCCATGTCAACAGCATCCTTCTCGGCAAGGCTACAACTGCTCCCTGGGATTGCCAAGTACAGCTCCAAGCTCCTTGGCACCCCTACAGCCAGGCCTTGCCTCATCTGGTCACCTATTTGCAGAGTGGGTGAGCTGCCCCACAGGCCAGCTGTCCTAACCTAAGTCCCACTGCTCCCTTTCCCTGGGCAGGCCTCCCTACACGTGCAGAGCCCAGGACAGTTCCCTCCAGCAGATTTTGTCTAGGCACACCCACTGAGCACTTTCAACCAACCTCCCACTTTGGTCTCCTCTACAACTCCAAGCTCTAATCTTCCACTGAAACCCCAAAGGCTTGAGTGCCTGACCTTCCCCCACAGCCTCAGGCTCATGCTGGCCTCCCACTGTTCACTGCCCTTTGTTCACAGCAGCAGCAGCAGCGGGCACAGGTAGGGAACCTCACAACAAAGGCGGAGCAGGGAGACGGCTAAGCCCAGTGGTCTGGGATCACAGCTGCCCTTTGCCTAGATGTTAGACAATCCCTGGCTGTATTCAGGCAAGCACTTATTAAATAAATATTAAAAAAAAAAACCCACGAAGCCAGCATAATAATAATCTGGGGACATGATCAGGACCCACAGACAAGTTCTAAGACACCCCTGTCCTCTGCTCTTGCTTCTTGAGAGGGTCCTTCCCCTGTAGCCGCTGAAGAGGGCTGTGGCTGGCCACAACTGTACCCAGAAAGTAAGAAAGGCAGTCATTATTCACACAGAACAGCTGCCCCTCGCTCTGCAATGCAGTCAAGTGTCGCTTTTCAAGTCAGGTGTCTGAGCTTCTGAAGGTGAATTTCATGTCTAGCTCCAGGGGGCAGGGCCTAGGAAGTCGCCTCCCCGACCCACATGCACTCAGCCTGGGTCCCTCACCATGCCCACCCTCCCTTCTTCAGGAAATGCTAGGAACGACTCAAGGTGGGGTGGTGAGGAGGGTGCCCCAACAGGCAAAGGAATCCCCCTTTGCTTCCCAACACAGGGCAGGGAGTGGGGAAGCAAAGACTGAAATCCAGCTCATTACTTCATATCTTTCTTTAGCAGACTGCTGATGAAATCCTTGGCATCATCAGAGATCTCATCGAATGCCTCGTCGTCGAAGTCCCAGGTGGCTGAGGTAACGTTGGCCAAGGTTTCATTATCGTTGTCTCCCATGAAGGGGGAAAGGCCACTGACCCTGGAGAGACAAGAGCAGGAGAGGTGGTATGGATAGGAGAGGCTGCGACGACCAAGTGAGTGCTAATTGAGGTCAAAGGCGAAGGTCTGCCAGCCTCCCCACCCTCAAACTCATGCTCTGGGGGCCTTGCACCTGCATTTCTTCCACTTGTGGAAAGAAAAGTGGGTGTGGTTTACAGAGGTCACCTGCCTCTTGACACAGTCTACCTGTGAGGCTGAGGTACAGTGGGCTTGCTTTAGATTATGGACTTCCGCAGGGTACACAGCAGGGCTGATAAGTCCCTCTGTCCTGGTCGTCTGTTCTTCCACAAAGCCCAGGCTAGAGGCTTCTCCAGGCTCCTTCCTCCTGTGCTCCTGCCCCCTCTCCATGGACCGGACACGTGGTACAGTGATCACCACTGCACCCTCTGTCCCCTCCCTCCCACCTCTCTCCACACACCTTCAGCTCCAAGGAGAGGGCCCAGCACACAGGAGATGCTCAGCAAGTGAAGCGTGTGCCCGATGGATAGATGGACTTTGAATCAGCAGTGCAGGTTCAGGACACCTGAGGCATTTATGCCAAACTAGAGAGCTTCCCTATGAGGTGCCGTGGCAGAGGGCAGAGTGCAGCCTCTCCGCTTGCTGGGTGGCCTTGGCCAATTCCATGATCTGTGTCAGTTTTCTCCTCGAAAATGGAGAAGCTACCATTTAACTCTGGGGTGGTCAGGCCTTCATCCTCAGCCTCATCATGATGGCAGTAGACATTTATTAAACTTTTTCTGTGTGCCACACACTGGGTCAAGTGCCTAAAACAGGTGAATTCACTTAATCTTAACACTGCCCTATAATGTAGGTAACCCTTATAACTTTGTTTTACAGACTAGGAAATTGAGGCACAGCCTAGGCTCAAGTAACCTTTCCAAAGATTCAGAGCCAGTGAGATTAAAACCCAGGTATCTGCCTCTAGAGCCCCTTAAGTGCTATATTACCCTAACATTTCTGTGAAGATGAAGTAAATTGCAATATTCAGCACTGGCACCAGGTTTGGTCCACAGTAAGGAGCCTGTCCATGCCCAGAGATATCATGCAGTTCTGCTGGGTTCCCTCCACTGTCTCACCAAGCTGTGAGTGCAGGAATGACTCTGACCAGCAGCTTAAGCCAAATAAACTTTGGAAGCTAAAGAATTTCAAAACAAGACAGATCAGATTTATGGCTTACTGACCTTATCTCTCACCTCTGTGCACTTCACCTTCATAGCAACAACCCACTCCACTGTTCACGTGAGCCTCGTGAGTCAGCCTCTTGGGTGTTTGACCTGCACAGTTGCCCAGAGTCCTACCCTTAGACAGGCCCTGTGCTTGGTTTAAAGATCTGCTGCCATCATCTCAAGATTCTTAATAATGTTTGAACAAGTGGCCCCACCTTTTATGTCACAAATTATGTAGCTGGTCCTGCCCTGACCTCAGCTGAGCCCCATGAGATGGGTCTGGGGCGTACTGGCTCACACCTGTAATCCCAGCACTTTGGGAGGCTGAGATGGGTGGATTACCTGAGGTCAGGAGTTTGAGGCTAGTCTGGCCAACATGGTGAAACCCCGTCTCTGGTAAAAATACAAAAATTAGCTGGGCATGGTGGCAAGCAGCTGTAATCCCAGCTACTCAGGAAGCTGACGCAGGAGAATTGCTTGAACCCTGGAGGTAGAGGTTGTAATGGGCCAAGACTGTGCCATTGCACTCTAACCAGGGCAACAAGAACAAGA